ATCAGGAATCATGGGAGATTACCATTCTATGCCCTGCCTGCTATGACATTTGCCAGGTTGGGTCCCTGATGCATTCACATCTATGGTCAGCAGTAGACCAAGTCACCTAAGGCCCTAACAAAGGAATCAGGCTCCAAGACAATAAACCCATTTTACATCCAGGATCACAAACAAAGTGGAAAATCTCCCTAACTGTTTTCTAAGAAATTGTGTTTTTCCATATTTGACGATGTAGAAAAGTTCTTGGAAATACCTTAAATTGCCATATTTTACTAGCTTCCTTCTTCACCCACACAGATAAACTGTTAGTTCGCAAGCAGATGGACAAATATTCTATTACTTTATTTACATCCTGAGAGTTTTCAAATTGAAAGTGTGGGTAGCTAAGTTTAGTTGTTAATTACACTATAAAATGTTTGCATTGTAAACCTTTACATTGTATAAGGGTAAATGTACATAGCCTGACATAGTATTACTGGATATAACATTGGACTATCCTGCCATTAACGCGTAATGCTTTGCTGAAATAATGGACATAAGTGTAATGTTCAAGCTGTTGGTCCATCATTATGAAGAAAGAAGGCAGGAAAGGGTACTGAAAAGAACATCGGGGATAGGCACTTATTAAAATCAGTGCAAGTTTCTCTGCAAAGATCAGCACTTTCCCTCAAAGCAGGTCTAAAGCCTCACTGGATGGCATTTATTTTTTAATAAAGCGCTCCATATCAAACAAATGCTTTTTTTTTTTTTTTTACAAAATACTGTTTTCAATCCTTTTTTGCATCAGGGTGGGCTTCCCGATGGTTGCAATGGAGAAGCATGTCTTGTAAAAAGCTATTCTTTGGTCACTTATACTGTAGTCTCTACTAGAAAGCAGGACAACAATTGTGAGACAAGCATAGATCATTGTCAATTATAACATGAAGAACCTAAACAAGGACCTTCCATGGCAGGATCAACAGATATTATTTTAATGAAAGCTGTAGGTTTTAAAATATTGAAAAATACATTGCTTTTGAAATTACATTAAAATGTTGTACCCAACACCTCCTCATGGTTGTCCCTACAATTCAGCTGGTGAGTCATTAATATCTGATTTATTTAGAGGTCCTAGAGTATCCCCATGTTCTGAAAATATTTCTAATTCCTGGCTCCACAGAGTCGGAGTTACCAGAGTGGAAGGTGAAGAGGGGTAGAGTGAGAGAGAGAACACTGCCAGCTCTTGCTCTAGGTACCTTAAAGTGTATATCCATGCTTCCAGTCAAAGTGGGAGAACGTCTATGTGAATGGGAACACATACCAAACATATAGTGTGGGGTTCTTAAATTTGACTGCAGAGGGGGAAATACACATTAAGAGCTTTTTATTATTATTATTATTATTATTCAGGATTTATATAGCACCAACAGTTTGCACGGCGCTTTACAGTATAAGGAAGACATTACAATCACAATACAATTCAAGACAAGATGGTAAGGAGGGTCCTGCCCGTGAGAGCTTACAATCTAAAATCACGCTGTGTTGGGACCAGATCTTGATCAGATCTGCAAACCTGGTATAGTGCGTTTTGTATGTGCTTTAGATGTGTTTTTTATGTGTTCCATTGCGTTTTTTTTAGCTTAAAATTGCCTTTCAGGTGCAGTGCATTCTAGTGTATTTGCATGTGTTTTTGATGTATTTACATGCGTTTTGGTGCGTTTCAGACCAGAAAACATTGTGCATGCAGCATTTCTTCCCCTGCTCCGGAATGGACTGCACTGATGTGAACAGAGCTCAGAAATACTGTAGAAATACATTGGGATGCATTTCAGGTGCGGAAAAAAAGGGTTCTGGTCTGGATCTGGTCCAGACATGGTGTGAACAAGCCCTGAGGTTTGCACTTGCAAATCTCCATGCCTCCCATTCTAAACTCAACATTGTATTATTCCTAGAAATATCAATCCCTCCTACCACTGATTCAGAGTTACCCCTGTATATCCCTGAATACATTCTTGCTACCTCACCTAAGATTTTCTAGCACTGCTCAGTCACATACTCTTTCCAACAGTACTGGTACTTTAACCTACTACTAAAGAGTAGAACCAGGTGGTGGGGGGGGTTCATTTAGTAAGGCACTGCAGAGCAATAATTATTCACAAAACTACATCTTGGTAGAGGTAACCAAAATTGAGAGTTGTTGCTTTGCCGTTACTACAGTAAAAATCAGTATTTTTTTGCAAATATTTACCATTTTAGTGAAATGCATTGCAGTCAATTGAGAATGTGAAATTAGAGTGGATTTTGGTGATTTTATAGGTGCAGTGGGCTTTAAATGAGGACTACAATTCCTTTCGTCTTTCATGGACATATTCATGTGCCAAAAAATGGCCTCTTCGTTAGCTGAGAGAAAGATGCTAGATATTGTAACAAACATGGTGTAATGTAACAAATAATGTGTTGTATGTGTATTGTCACAATTGACTGTTTCTTGCCAATGTATTCTCACAATTACTTTCTTTTTGCTTGTGTATTGTCACAATTGCCAATTTCTTGTCTGTGCATTACAACAATTGCCAGTGATGTGTTGCCTGTAACAACATTGCATGTGCTTCACCGGTATTGTAACAATTGCCTGCTTGTTGCCCGCATAGTCTCACCTACGCCTGTTGTTTCCTGTGTGTTGTAATGTTACCCAGGCATGGTCAAAATTGCCTGTTTATTGGCTTCTTTCTTGTATATAGTCCCTATTCCCAAAGGTTGCTAGGACACTGGTGTTCAGCTCCACAGCATCTTCGGCTGCTAAGATGCAGGCAGTATCATGTTATGGTGCAGGCAGCCATCTGCGCTATAACAACCAATGGCGCTGTGCGGCCTAGCACTTGAACATAAACAGGGCTGAACATGCATTGAGGATGGAGTATCCAGTATATACACTCCAGCCCCATTGCCACCTACCACTGCACCTCAGAGCTTGCAAAGCAACATGGAAATATTTTCATTCTTTTTTTTTAAAGTGATTTTTCTTGTAACCAAGCTGCATGATGAAATTAAATAAATATTGCTGAAATCACTGCTTTTCTCCTTCTTAGTTTTTCTAAATTCTTTAAAATAAAATCTGGTTGCCAGTACCATCATCTGCACACCTCTACTGCTCATTGCACTGCTTTTTAAATATTCCCTTGGTCATAAGGCACAAAGTTTAACTATGTTCACAAAGTACACCACACCAATGCTATACCACATACGGTAAACTCCCCATTATCTGGTAGTTTCTGGTTGCTGAGGGTTACTATTAAAAATGGGTTTAACTAGTTCTATACCCAATACTATACCATACCATAACAGTATATTGTTCTCTAAACCATTAGCAATACATTGCAGTACTGGGAGTGATCACTAGGTGGCACTTATTCACAGGATAACACAGCACTTTCATAAATGATCGATCAGACACCCATTTCCAGGATAACCCAGCACTTTCCAGAGATCATTCAGACACTCGTTCCCAGGATAATCCAGCACTTTTTGGCCTGTTCCTGTACATTTCCATGCTCCAGAGCCCGCTCTCCCTCTCCTAGTAGGTGGCAGAACAGTAAGTACACAGGGAATTATTTTTTGCCAGTTAGATGGGAGTTCCGGTTAGCTGAATACCGGATAACAGAGACTTTACTGTACATTGTAAACATGATCATTCTTAAAGATAGCACTAATCAGTCACATGAGATATACTTAGGGGTACTGTCCACCACCAGTCCCTTTAAGTCCAACATGTCCACTTTGACACCACAGTAGCAGTGCTTAGGAAACATTTTTTGGCGTAAAATCAAGAAATATGAACGGTTTTGCATAGATCAAAGTGCTTTATTAAAATTATTTCATATTGTCAGATCTGTATTTAAAGTGACACTAAACGCAGGAGTTAAATCTTAAAAATGCATTCAAGCACTTTAAATGTTCACAAACACTGTACTTTATTTGTGCTATATCCTGTAATCCTCAAATCATCTCTGAATTCATGCTGACACTGTCCTTCCTTCTGGAGGGTGGCTACTTTTGTTCCCCATGGTCCCTGTGTGTGTTGTAAAGTAGTCACCGCTCCAAGCTCACTCCTGTGATGGACTACAAACTTGATACAAATTAGTAAACTAAATGAGAGATTGTAGTCCATCACGGGAGTGAGCTTGGAGCTGTGTCTACTTTACAACACACACAGGGACCATGGGGAACAAAAGTAGACACCCTCCAGAAGGAAGGACAGTGTCGGCACTAATTCAGAAATGATTTGAGGATCTACAGCTGAGTGATACACAAATAAGATACATTTTTGTTAATAGAGTAGTTGAATGCACTTTTAAGATTTAACTCCTAGTGTCACTTTAATAATTTGCTAACATTATTAATAATCTAGATCAGTGGTTTTCATTTTTGTATTTTTTTTTTTATTTGGGAAGTGTGCCTTGTATTAGAATTCTTTTAAAGCTAAAACAATGTGTTAGCTAAAAATGATATATGTTAATATAGAACAAAAGTAGTAGTAAATGTACTTTGGAAACTGAACTAGGTGACTGAGAACTGGTGGTAATTAGTCTGTGGACTTCCGGTATCTCAAAAACTGATATCTGAGAATCACTGCCCCTAAATTTCTGCTTTTAAAGCATTTACAATCATTATAACAGTCATAATGTTTTGCAACAAACACGTAATTTACTAAATTTTCAGTAGTGTCTGTTAATGCCTTCACTGTGACATAAATACATGCACCTGATACTCTGCCATCCGTCTATTATTTACTATATAATGGGAATCTTTACAAACCTTTTATACATTTACAACATTCTAAAAAATAGAAGGCAGAATAATGGAACACAACGTGTAATGCTTTCAACATCTAAGTATTATGAAAGCATTGTTGTATGCCCTAAGCATTTCAATACATGAATAAAGCAAATGCATTCTATAATGGCATTGCATGTCTTTGTAACAAGCATGTGCTGGACCAGCTACAAAATATCCTGACTCACCAGGTCAATGAAGGTGAGAAATTTCCAGCTGCCCCCATAGGTCTGGTGTGCAGGCATCTCTATGGCCTTGTAGTGGCATAGCACGGACAGGTAGGAGAGCAGGATGGCAGCCCGCAACACCTGGCAGGGGATGAGCGCCATGGCGGCTCGGTACACCGGAGGTCAGCGCCACAGAAAGGGCCGTACACCCCTCCCCTCCTCCCCCTCGGTTTCTGTATTGTGTATGTCACTTCTTATTTTACTACCTCCCTCATTTGGAGTCTGGGGAATGAAATAGATGGGAGGGGGAGCGGAGACACATGGCTAGCACTAAGCATCACACGCTCCAGCCCAGAGGAGAGAGCGAGATACAGGGAGGGAGCAGTTGCTATGGAGATCGTGCTGATGTTATGTGGAAGACAGCATCCTCGGAATACCTTTAGATGTGCATGCTGCTTGCTCTTTCCCACTGGCCACTGTGTGATGCAGACTACTGCTGTCTGCACTGACACTGTTTCATTGTTTCTGCAAAATTTCCGGTGCAGTCAATTCTCACAGCCACCAATCAAGGTAGCCCTACTTTGCCTGCTTTAACCACTTGCTGACCGCAGTGTTTACACCCCCTTCTTGTCCAGGCCATTTTTCAGTATTCAGCACTGCGTTACTTTGACTGACATTTATTCAGTGATGCAACGCTGTACTGAAATTCATTTTATAGCATTTTTTGGAGACAGATAGAGGTTTCTTTTGGTGGTATTTAATCACCACTGGGGTTTTTATTTTTTACTATATAATGAAAAAAGTACCGAAAATTAGAAAAAAAAAACGTTTTCCCTTTATTATGTTATGAAACATTTATTATTAACCAATTTTTTGGTAAAATATAAAAGATGGGGTCATGTTGGGTAAACAGACATCAAACACGTGAAGCCCTAAAATTGCACGCGCCCGCGAAATCGCAAAAAGCTACCATACCCAAAATTGGCCATAGGCGATGCTTTAAAAGATTTTACCAGTCATCAGTTTAGTGTTATCAGTGATTGATGACCCTAAAATTATTGCTCTCACTGCGACGTTCGCGGTGATATGTAACAAGTGCTGCGTAATTGGAGCAACCGTCGTTTTTGTGAGTCGGCGCACCTAACGCATCTATGTGGGGGTGGGGGACTTTAAAAAACATTTGTGGGGGGGGGGTTTGTCTGTGTGTAAATTTTATTTATTTTGTGACCAATTTTTTTTTTTACACTCAACTTTATTGTTATCACATAGGGGGATCCCCCTATCCCTATGTGATATCAAATTACAGTGACAGGTCCCCTTTATGGAGACATCAGGGGTCTCTAAGACCCCTAATGTCACCTAGGGACCCCCAGAGAAGCTGATGAAGCACAGATCTGCTTCATCAGCTTCTCTCCGGTTTCTGTACCGGAGAGTGACATAGGAATGCGGAAGTGATGTAGTAAACATCCCTTCCTGCATTCAGAGGCCAGGGAGGAGAGTGGAGTGATATCGTGTACTGATCTCCCTCCATTCTCTGTGCACGGAGCCACATCACCCATCCAGGGTCGGACGCCCAGGATCGTGGGGGCGGCGACGGCAGGGACAGCGACCACGAGGAGAGGTAAGAAGAGGAGGGGGCGCACAGAGACATGCAGCATTCAAGCGATTGGGCGTCTTTACAGACGCAGGACCGCTTGTATGTAAAAGGCCATCGCTGGCTGTTTAAAATTATGGCAGTTTCCCGCTCATGTGCGCGGGCACGAAGAACGTCTAAAGACACCCACCTGCATCCCGGAGGTGGTTAAACCCATTAGGATCAATTCACAAAGCTACCACACCAGGGTAAGGATAAGGATCTTCCTTTAAAGGAGAACTATGAGGTGAGTGCTTTTCACTCACCTCATAGTTCTAGCCAACCTGTGACAATGAGACTGTCACAGGTCGGCTCAGTAGATCGAGAAGTGAGCGAACACATACCAGCGTTCGCTCACCTCTCAATCCTGCCACAGCTCTCTGCCGTGACAGGGGAGGGGCTGGATTCCCCCCTCCCAGCTCTGATCCGCCAGCGCTGACTGGTGGATCGGATGGGGGAGGGGGCGGGTACAGCTGGCTCTGCCTCTAGAAATGCAGAGCCAGCTGTCGCTCACGCAGCTGGGCGGATCCAGACATAATTGTCAGGATCCGCTTCAGCTGCGGCGTCTCAGTATACCGCAAGCAGTAGCTTGCGGTGTACTGTGGCATCTCAGTATACCACGAGCTGTAGCTCGCAGTATACTGAGCTTAGGGTGACGGGAGGAAGCTAGTTTGTGTCCTCCCGTTACCCTAAGGAGAACTATGGTGAAAAGCCTTGACCCCATAGTTCTCCTTTAATAAATAAATAAAATAAATAAATAATAAATACATTTAATAAATGCCTAAAAATGTGGATGCATCCGATATTACAATCAAAGAAATAACAAAAAAAATTCTGAATGTCATTCGGAATGAACTTGTGTTGTTTAATGTTAATATATATATTATAAAAACACTGTGGATTCTCCTCCCCAATTCATGCCAGACCCTTTATGTCAAAAAACATATTTATTGCATTGAGAGTTCGTTGGGATCAGTTGTGTCGGCGGGCGTTGGGTATTTTTTCTTTCGGTGGCCATCATCCATCGTGATTGACGTGGATCTGCATCGCTGGACGACATGATTGACCTTTGGATTGCATCGATGGACACTTTTTTTTTTTTACTGTTTAATTGGTGAATGAGTAGGGGTAACAACTTCCCCTTACTCATTCACGAGGGAAGGAGCAGCATCTGGGTGCCCCCTTTCTGAAAGGGGGCACCCAGGTTCAAATAAGCCCCCCCTCAGGCATCCCAAATCTAGCTGGTAGTTTTTCTTTTCACAGATAGCAGGGGAAGCATTAGCTCCTCTGCTATATCCTCCCTGAAATGAGAAGGGCACCTCCTTGAAATAATTTTTTTCAGGTTGGGATGTCCGACCCCTGCCCACTGGCTCTTATCATCATTGACATGGAGATAGGGTGCAACTCCGGCCCCCCAGCTGTGTTTTTTTTTAAATCAGAAGTCAACTTTATTTGACAAATGCTTAGTACAAACGGTACAGGGGGGCGGTCACCCCAACATCATTACAACATCTCCTGAGGAAATCAGGGGTGTAGAGAAACACAAATACAAGCTTACAGTACAATGTGCACATTACAGTTACAGGGTAGTGGTTTGGCTCAATGGATACATTGGTCAATCTGCTATTACTGCCGTCCTAGTGTCATCTAGACGATGAGATGTATAGTAGGAGCACAGGTGGTGTAAAAAAATATCCAGAGTTGCCCACCCCTGTTGTAGAGAGAAAGGTTGTAATATTTACCTTATTGCTCACGTCCCCAGTCACTGGTGCTCTTCTCTTATCTCCGATCTTCTGGGTTGTAGACACGCTCTCAGTTTCCTCCCTTACAATGCAGGACTAATGGGCCTACATTGTACTTGATGCGACCACCAGCCGGAGCGCCTCAGAGAGGAGGCTTTAGGGGACCACTAGATGCACCGATGAAGGAAGCATGCTGGAGGGAGGACTAAGGTAAGTATTACACCTTATTGCTCTAAACCTAGACCTTGCATTTACCCCTTGCTGTGTGTGTGTGTGTGGGGGTCCATTTTTTTCCTGCCTGGAGTGGATTAAATATTTCCATGCAAGAGGTTTAGAAGAGTTATTATTTCTTGGCTGAAAGACTACTTTAAAAGTATTAAACTCGTTACAGAAAGCTGTTAGAGCAGTTGTCATAGAAGTAGCCTGTAAGTTAAATTGAGTGGGCACGGAACACAGACAAGAGAGCCTGATTACTTCTTATAGTCCAGTAGGAAATGCTGTAATACACACAGTGCCTTTAATAGTTTGCATTTAAATTACATGCTTATTTCAGGATTGTAATTAATTATAGGAGGACTGAACTCTGATCTGATGCCTTTGCTGTATACTCTGTTCAAGTACATACATGGATTACCACATCCACAAATCCCAGTTGCCAAGCAGAGGATCATCTTTGGATTTACATTATACACATGTTGCAAAACCAAAGGAAGAACTATTTGGAGATTGGAATAAATGCCATTTGCATGCTGATTGGCCAGGAAGCCGTCTCCATGCTAGCGGAAGTACAGGTATCGGCAAATACCAAAATATAAATATCTGTACTAATACTCCATACCGAAAAACCGGAATTGGTGCATCCCTCATATCTACTTTAGTTTGCTTTCCTTGTGGTCTACAGCTCTCTTAGAATTTTCCTCCTCTTTTCATTGTGACCATAATGATGTCTGATGACTCCTAACTGTGTGGAGAGAATAGGGAAGTTGTACTGCACACAGTGCCACCCTCATTTGTCCAAAATTTGCAGGTCAGTGACCGAACAGTTAGATTTACATCTCACATCTGTGCTTGGCATTAATGGGGGGTAACACAGCACAGACCAGCTTCAGCCACAATGACACAAAGCAGATCAACTAGAATGGAATGCAAAAACGTCAAACCCTACTTAGCCCAGCGTCTGCAAAATACTTTTTATGGGTTCTGTCACAATCGGCTGTCATGAACCTGTTGTAAAACAGTATAGGGTAATACACATCTGAGTCTGGTTTATTTTGAACTACAGCTGAAATGTAATATATTTCAAGGTCTCAACTCATATTACATAATTCCAGTGGTTACTCTAATGCATAAGAAAATAATAATCAGGTAGACACCAAACACAACCTGTATTACAAGGTTCAGCAGACTAAGGGAACACATTAATAGGGTTATTCACAAAAGGGTGAAGAGTTTGGAGAAGACAGGAGAAGTGAACAATCTAGGACAACATAGCTGATTTTGGGAAAATTCTCTAATTATTCCAGTATAGCGATGTTGTCCTAGATTGTTCACTTCTCCTGCCTTCTCCAAACTCTTCACCTTTTTGTGAATAGACCTTGTAACTCTCCTGTGATATCTGCATCTTATTTACATCTGCATCTGATTTACATTATATTTGGTCTCAAACAAGTCATAACTTCATTCTATGCATTAATATGTTAGTTGGAAGATTGTAAAATGTTGCCAGATGGGAAATATTAATGCTGAGCATCATAATATACTCACCAGCCACTTCAGGACACCACTTAGACCCTTGGTTTTCAACTGGTGGGTCATGACCCAAAAGTTGTTCGCAACCCCGTGTTCAGTGGGTCACCGCGTGCCATCCACTTTTCTAGGTGAGAGACTTCTGAGCCTCTCCCTAGCGCAGCACTGTCAGTTCTCACGCCAAGCAGATATTCATATGCTGCTTGGTGCAAATGTCAGCTTGAGGTGGGGTGGGCTG